CTTTTGGAGTGGTGCCCGTGGTTTCCTCTTTCCCAGTGGTAATTTTCACAGTGCCGTGGGCCCTTCCCACTCGTGACAACCGTGTCAGTAGTTTTGGCACAAGTGGGCACTTGTCACCTCGAAACCTTTGTGGGAAATCACTCTTGGAGTTAGAAGAAATGGCAACTACTGGAGAAAGAGAAGCTGCGTTGGAGGAAGTGGTTGTGTTGCAGCCTCATTGCGCCCTGGAATCTTGCTCTGGGAAAGGATGGAGTGCAAATGGGCAGAAGGGGTCTTGGAGCTGTGAGCAAAGGAAATGTTTTGGTTGATTCCTCCTGTGTGCAGGCTGCTTGACGTAAGGGAACAAATTCGGTTGGAAGAATCTGTCTGTCTCTTGAGGACTTTTTTCCTCCTAAGTGAAATAATCTTCAAGCTCCTTAATTTTGCCCAAGTGTTAGATTCCGTATTTGTAGTTTGAGCTTTTTAGTTGTTGATGAGACTTGTATATGAATTATGCTATTTAGGATTTTGCTTTTATTCAGTAGGGGTTCCTCTAAACAGCCGTCTCATTTTTTTCAGGTGCGGAAACGCAGAGCCCTCAGGCTGTGAAGAAGATGTAAGCCAGGATTCCTCTGAATCCAAACCAGTACTGGTGACGTAAGTGTGTTTCTTCACTGTTCTTTTGCACAGCAAGCCCCAGTCAGGATTCGGTACTGGGGGGGGGCTGTGGGCAGCATAGCTGTTGTTTCCTTTGAAATTGCACACGCGCTGTTTGCTTGCTTAAAGAGGCTTGTGTAAAGGCCAAATATCAACAGTCTGGTCAGATATCCAGCCATATAACGCAGAGATCTTTCTGTCAGGGAAATTGTCTCAGAATTCAACCTGAGATGAACACATCTAGGCCAACAGTTAGTTGATTAAACAGAGGAGGAGTGTTTGCTTCCCCTGCTTTACCTCTGGTGGTAAATGGTTATGGCTTGTGACTGATTGCATTGTGCATAAGAGCAGTGTCTGCAGACCGAAGCTGGGGTTGTTTCAGGCAGCGTGTGTATGCGTGTATCTTTGCCACTAGTGCCCCTGTGATTTACAGTGTTGCTTTTCGAGTGAGATTTAAATTCCGAAATCATCCGCATTTGCAAGAAAAAGAGCAAAGGTGTTTTGAAGTGCAGTTAAAGGGGTAAAAAAGGCGTTTGCTTATCCTCCTAGCACCATATGAAAGTGCATTTTATCTGTAGACGTCGGGTGTAAAATGTGCCTTAGGTCATCAGCATTTGTTCTTTGACAGCGGTCTGATCTGTGGTTTGCATGCATTGTGGCAGTGAAGAGTAGCTGCAACGTTATATTTGATTATGGTATGAAGATGCTCTATTCTTGTCAGCGTTACTGAGGATTGTTTTTCTATGAATGTCTCAGCTTCCACCAGTTAAGAAGACCTTAATTT